GATCACTTGTACAGTAAAGTGTAAGCCCAAAATTATTGGATTCAGAAGAGTTTAGGTTTTTATTGTTGACTGCTCACCCAGTAAGGGGGGGGGGATTTGCCTTAATTCTCTACACGGTGTCCAATCCTTCCTCTTAGGGTGACAAGACAAAGTGAAGGTAAATCTTTCTACTGGGATTGCTGACCAAACAAACCAGTAAGTAGAGCCTACATATGCAAGTGTGGCTCATCCCATGTAAAAACTGCACCCAATTTATTTTGCTTTTTAAAATATGGACACAACTATAAAAAACACTAGTATCATAAAGCATGGCAATACAACAACCTTTAGGTCCATGTTGACCAGTTGGGCAACAAGCTAGTTAAATTGTTCTGGTGTAGATTATTCCTCCACAGGATCATTTATTAAGGATTGAATATTCCTGGCCCAGCCCTTGAGCAGATTTTTTGGCATTCAGTGTACATACGTCACTACACGCCGAGGCTCGACCAAATGTAATTTTGCTGCTATGGCAATGAAGAATTTTGCTCAGTAGGAAGTCGCCAAGCACAACTGCTAATCCACTTTACTATGCCTATCGTGCGCTTCAAGGCACAGTTACAAAATTAATCTCCCAGCTGGAGCCCAATCTTTTTAAGAATCCATATTTATTTGGTGGGGGGTGGAAGGGTTGGAGTTTGAATTGCCAAGGACAGCCTTGTGCGCAGAAAGTTGACTTTCCGCATAGCTGGTGTAATCCAGAACATTGTGAAGATTGATGTTGGCTGGCCACATGCCAATTAAACACGTTTAGCAAAATCTGACTACTCCCGTCAGGATAGATCTGGTTCAAACAAGAGCCGAGAGTGGAATAAGCATTACCCAGCATGCAACAGGAGCAATGCACTCCTTGACTCGTGAAGCAATAGCCAATATTTCATCGGAAAATAGAACATCCAACCGTTCAACTTGGTAACTAAACCGCAAACGGCTGCTCCAGCGTTCAAGTGAAAAATGTTCCTCATCATATACTTGCAAAAAAACAAAAAAAAAAACAAAAGGTATTTTTAACATCTGAACGCCATTTTTCAGATATACACACAAAAAAAGCCAATGTAAATGCCCCAGAAGAGCAAGCGACAGCTGTCTACAACCAAAGACTACAGATATGAGGCATTGGTCTTTATCTTCCAGGAAACCAATCAGGAGCAAAAGCATTTGTTCCCTGGTCACCTTTTAAGTCAACCTTAAAAAAGGAAAAACCAAATACACTGCCTGGCCAAAAAAAAAAAAGTCACCACCTAGATTTAGCTAAGCAAATAGGTAAGAGCTATAAGGGGTTGCTTCAGTTAGGTTCAGCAACATAATGTGCCCAAAAAATGGTCAGCTGCCCCCCTGAATATACTGAATTCAGGTTTCTCCATCAATGGATATTTTTCCTTCCCTGATGGCACATTGGGCCAAGATGGCAATGCCAGGATTTATCGGGCTCAAATTGTGAAAGTGGTTCAGGGAGAATGTAAAAATTCAGAGTTAGGACTTACCGGTAACTCTATTTCCATTAGTCTTCCAGGACAGCATCACGAGATGGAATCTCCTCCCCCACACACAGGAAACACGTCACTTAATCTGCTTAAAAGACCCTCCTCTCCTCCACTCCCTCAGTCATCACGAGAACCGAAGGCAAGCTGGAAAAAGACAAGGCACAAACAGGCAATACCACTACATCACATTAACACTACAAGCATCAATGGGCGGGCAGTTGCTGTCCTGGAAGACTAATGGAAATAGAGTTACCGGTAAGTCCTAACTCTGAATTTCCCATAACGTCTTCCAGGACAGCATCACGAGAGGATAACCAAGAACT